ATGAACGAACATCTACGAAAGATATCAAATAAAGAGCTTCATACACACTATCTTGGCAAAGATATACAAAATGAACTTATTCAACTGTTAGGAAATGCTATTAAGAAAGAAATCATACAAACAGCAAATGCAATGAAATATTTTTCAACAGTTCTCGATGGTACTCCTGACTGTAGCCATGTTGAGCAAATGACAATAATTATTCGTTTTGTTAAAGTTGATTCATTGAAAAAGGAGTTTAGTATCAAAGAACATTTTTTAGGCTTTGTACCTTTAAAGAAAACAACTGGAGCCTATATGGCAGAAACGATAATACAACAACTAGAAGAAATGGAGTTACCTATTGATAATTTACGTGGCCAAGGCTACGATAATGGCGCAAATATGATAGGCAAAAAAAATGGTGTTCAAAAGAAAATATTAAACATTAATCCTCGAGCATTGTTTGTTCCTTGCAGCGCGCATACTCTTAATTTTGGTTGTCAATGATGCTGCAAATTGTTGTCTAATAGCTACAAGTTTTTTTGATATTGTCCAACGTGTGTATGTATATTTTTCGTCTTCAACACATCGGTGGGTAGTTTTCACTAGTCATCAACCTACGTTAACTGTTAAACCTCTAAGTGAAACAAGATGGGAAAGCAGAATAGGTGCTATAAAGCCTTTGCGATATGAACTTGGTAAAATATATGATGCACTGCTAGAAATAGCTGATGATACTTCTCTAACTGGATCCTCAGGAAGCACTGCACGCAGTGATGCTAAAGCACTTGCGAATAGTGTTGCAAAGTTTAAGTTCGTGGTTTCAATTGTTGTATGGTACAACATACTTTTTGAAATCAATATAACAAGTAAGCAGCTCTAAGCTAAAGATTTGGATATTCATGCTGCTGTACAACAGTTACAACACACACAAGCCTATTTGGTTGACTGTAGGAGTGACATAGGTTTTTCAAGAATGCTAGTGGATGCTGCTAAAATTGCTAAGGATTTGGAGATACCACCAACCTTTGAGGCAGAACCACGATTACGGCGGAGAAAAAAGCAATTTGCATATGAAGCTGAAGATGAGCCTGTGCAAGATCCAAAACAAAATTTCAAAGTGAATTTTTTCTTTGCTATACTTGACACAGCAATAAGGTCGGTTGAAGAAAGGTTTGAACAAATGAGAACAATTGAATCTGTATTTGGTTTCTTATATCATATTCATGGTCTACAGAGTAAAACTTCACAAGAAATATTGGAATGTTGCATGAAACTAGAATCTGCTTTACAACATGGTGATAACAGAGATTTAGTTGCATCAGATTTGTGTGGCGAACTACAGTCTATTGCACAACAACTTTGTGAAGAAACAAAGTCTCCTCAAGATGTTTTTCGATTTATTCTTTGCCAAAACTTGGAAGACAGTTTACCCAACCTTTGTATTGCTCTTCGTATTTTGCTGACATTACCTGTTTCTGTCGCTAGTGGAGAGCGTAGTTTTTCCAAACTAAAATTGATAAAGACATACATTCGATCATCCATGTGCCAAGACAGATTGGTTGGGTTGGCAACTCTTTCCATTGAGCACGAACTTGCAGACAAGCTGGACCTGAAGGACCTTGTGATCGATTTTGCCCAGAAAAAGGCACGCAAAGTACAGTTTTGATATTTTTAAATAAATAAATACTTACCTGGTGTTTTCACTTTATTTTGCATTTTATTTTGATTTTTTTACGTAAAAGGGGTGCGACCTTTGAAGTTTTGCCTAGGGTGTCATAACCCCTTTGCACCGGCCCTGCGTTGTTGTTAGAGCCTAAGACTAATTAGAAGGTAACACAAACATGTTCAGTTAAACACAGTGATTTATATTAAATTACCTTGTTTTAATAAAAATAAAGTACAAAAGTAGAAATTGTTATTTTTATAACACCTTTTAATATATTTTTTGTAAGTTAATAGTTCAAAGAATAATTTTCACATATTTTATTTTAAAATAGTTAATATGCTTAATTCAAAGAATTTTCCCTTCAAAAATATTCTGCCGCTATTGGTTGCAAAGTATTTTATTCCGCCTTTAAATCAACGCCTTTTAGGTTTTTCAGATCTGATTTTCTCAAACACGATCTTGCTTTTTTTTATTTTGAAATCTGACTTGATAAAGTCAGAGTTCAAAGTTAAATTCGAACTTAATTTATGTTTGCTTCTTGCATTCCACCCTAAATATTGAAATTAAATTTAAAAAATGCAAAATAATCAAAACACACATACTATTTCTACTCTAATTTCCAGTTGATCAAAATATTAAAAACAAACTATGCAATACGGATGTTGGTTGCCAGTTGATCAAAATATTAAAAAACAAACTATGGAATACGGATGTTGGTTGCTAGTTGATCAAAATATTATAAACTATGGAATACAAATGTATAAATAAATTTACAATACAGTGTTATAATAAAAAGATTCAAATAAAATTCAACGTTTTTTAAACCATTTTATGATTAACGTTTTTAGATATTTCTATTGTTATAGAATTCAAGATTGAATTAGATTCCAGAAGCTTTTAAGAATTTGCAGTAGCAGTCAACACCCTGCACAACTTAACAACAATTCAATGTCAAAGCATAAAAATAACACCAACAAGTTGTTTGTTAGCGCAACAGTTGTGATATCTTTAGCTAATTATATTAGCTAAAGTTATTACAATAACTTTAACCAGTTTTTTGGTCTTTTTATTACATTTTAAATAAGCATTTGGTTACAATATATAAAATACAAATAAATAATAATATATATATATATATATATATATATATATATATATATATATATATATATATATATATATATATATATATATATATATATATATATATATATATATATATATATATATATATATATATATAATGATCGTTATTAAATAATAAAAGAACGCAAGGACTCGTAGAAGACCATACGGTCTTGTCGTCGAGTACCGCTAAGAAATGTTCGTGTAAAAATTCATAAGATATTTACAAGACAAAAAATAAGTGAAGAAGTTAGAAACTTAAAATATTCCGTTACAAATACAAAATACAATATTAAATATTACAGTTGATAATGATACATGTATACTTTTTATAAATTCATGTTTGAATAGAGAGTGAAAAGGAAGATCACTAAAAAATATTGTTAAATCTTCGCTTGTAAAAATGAGTTCTTTAAGCTTTCGTTTAAAAGAAAAATAGTTACTTTGATGAATAAAATCCTCAGTAAAATTTTTAAAACTATTTTATTCTATAACAATGGTCCGCGATAATCAATACAAAATTCAAAAAGACTTGTTTGAAAAATGGGCTGCCTAATAAAATTACCATTGCGTAAAATGTATTTATTTTTATATTTTTATGAATACAAATTATGGGAAGAAATCGGGGATGAATTAGTTTTACATTTAAACATAAAAGAAAGAATATTTAAAATATTAATCTTATATATATTAAAAACTTTAATTTCAAATAAAAGAGGCTTGGCATGAGTATAACGGTCTTTAAAATATATAAGAAGTGCTTCATGCTTCTGCTGACAATAAAGGGGTTTAAGATTATTTTTATTTGTACTACCCCAAGCAATGTTTGCATAGTTTATGTGACAATGAATTAATGAGTGATATAATTGTGGTTAAGTATGTTTGTTTAAAATATTTCATGCTTTGTACAATATTCCTATACTTTTTGAAATTTTACTTGATAAATTTTTAATGTGATTTTTCCATGTAAGATTTTCATCTGTACAAACACCTAGAAAGTTGGTTACTGTTACTTGTTTAATTTGTATACTGTCAATAACAAGATGAGGCATGTTAAATGGCAGTTTATGTTTTTTGATAAGAGGATTCAAAATAATCCATTTAGTTTTATCGATGTTAAGAGATAATTTGTTGGTCTTAAACCAGTCAGATATTTTGCGTAACTCAATGTTCATGTAATGAAAGAGAGTAGGAATTCTTTTGTGTGACATAAATAAATTAGTGTCATCAGCAAACATAACTGTTATTAAATTTGAGGCTTTGTATAGATCATTTATATAAATAAGGAAAAGAAGAGGTCCTAATATGGATCCTTGTGGAACTCCACATGTTATATTTAACAAATTTAATAAAAATGTTTCATCGGCGTAAACAAATTGTTTACGATTAGTTAACTTTTCAATCATTTTAAAACATTGCCATAATACTTTAATTATTTAGCAAGAACTCAAACGCTTTTGCTAAATTAATTAATATTCCCAATGTGAATTTAGAATTGTTAAAAGAGTCTGATATATTTCTTGTAAGCTGAATGATAGCATTATCTGTCAAATTAATTTTTTTAAATCCATATTGCATGTTATATAATAATTTGTTTGATAAAAGGAGACTGTATATTCTGTTGTACAAAGTTCTTTCACTAATTTTAGAAAAAACAAAGAGGATAGAAATTGGACGATAGTGTTTTACATTATTTTTTTCTCCTTCTTTAAATATAGAAATAATTTTAGCTATTTTTAAGTCATAAAGAAAAACTTCCTGATTAATAGAGCATTTAAAATTTTAACAAAACTTGTATTTTAATACGTCAAAACAGTTTATAATAACATTCCCATTTACATCATCTGGACCAACTGCTTTATTTGACTTTAACAATTTAAAAGCACTTTCAAACTCTTCAAAAGACAAATCAAAAAAGTTTAGATACGAGATTAGAGGGTCATGTGTTGGTTTTATTAATTTTTTAGGGTTTAAATTTTTTCGGCTAGGTTTGGTCCAACAGTTACAAAATATTTATTAAATTCGGAAGCAATTGTTTTTTGATCAAGAAAAAAATTATCATCTACTTTAATAACTGAGGGCAAAGGTTGCGATATTTTTTTAGTGTTACCAGTAACTTCGTTTATTAGTTGCTAAGTGCGTTTTGAGTTTAATTTGTATTTTTCAAGTGAATTGGTGCAGTATAATGTTTTCGAATTTTTCCTTAGGCGTCTTACGTAATTTTTATAAATGGTCTTATTCTCAGTTGGTTTTGATTTTAAATATTTAATATAAAGTTTTTGTTTAGTTTTAGAAGATTTTAGAAAACCCTTAGCAATCCATGGCGATTTAATTTTTTTATGTTTGTAATTTACTACTTTGGGAAAATTAAGATCCTTTTCAAGTTCAAATACCTCCTCCAAGCAATCATATACTTTGGGAAAATTAAGATCCTTTTCAAGTTCAAATACCTTCTCCAAGCAATCAGAGAGAATTTACTTTGGGAAAATTAAGATCCTTTTCAAGTTCAAATACCTCCTCCAAGCAATCAGAGAGAGTTGGCTTCTTATCATGACAAGAATAAATGGTAGTATCATCAGCGAACAATGTACCTCAGATGAGAATATCTGGAAGATCATTAATGTAAATTAAAAAGAGTATAGGGCCAAGGGTTGAACCTTGAAGAATCCCTAAGGTTACAGAATATGAACAAGAGTGCTGTCCATCAAGGACAACTTTTATACTACGATTGGATAGGTAGGATTCAATAATCTTAAAGATGTTTCTAGATACACCGTAAGCAAAAAGTTTATGAAGAAGACCAGCATGCTAAACTTTATCAAACGCTTTAGATATGTCAAGAGCGATAGCCTTAATCTCTCCACCTTTATAGACAGGAAATCAATTTAGATACAGAAGCTTGTGTGATACGAATGTCAAGCAATGGATCAACCTGTTTGACGGCTATACCAGGTAGAACGCAACTAGTGGAATTAAGAGATGAAATTGATGAAAAGTTCTTAGCAAACAATTCAGCTTTGTCTTTAGGTGAGGTGACAAAATCTGAACCATACAAAAAAGGTGGAATTACAGACTTGCCCTTATTATTG